AAAACACTAAAATTGAAATTAATAAAAAGCGCCCGACAGATTTTGAAATTTTTTTTTGGAAAATGTTCAGTGATATACCCCGAACAGGGGCGCATGATTATTCCCCAAATGTCATTTTTCCGAAATGTCATTTTACCGAATTGCACTTTTGCGAATACTCATTTTTGCGAAAAGCCAATTTTGCGAAATGTCACTTTTGCGAATTGTCATTTTTTCGAAAAGCTATTTTTGCGAATTGTCATTATTGGGAATCGCCATTTTTACGAATTGTCAATTTTCCGAAAAGTCATTTTTGCGAATCGCCATTTTTACGAATTGTCAATTTTTCGAAAAGTCATTTTTGCGAATCGCCATTTTTACGAATTGTCAATTTTTCGAAAAGTCATTATTGGGAATCGCCATTTTTACGAATTGTCAATTTTTCGAAAAGTCATTTTTGCGAATTGTCATGTTTACGAAAAATACAATAGAAAACTTGTAGGTCTATAAATTCACTATTGTATTTTTCGCAAAAATGACTATTCGCAAAAATGACAATTCGTAAAAATGGCGATTCGTAAAGGTGACAATTCGCAAAAGTGCAGTTCGGTAAAATTACATTTCGGAAAAATGACATTTGGGAAATAATCATGCGTCCCCCCCGAACAAGTTGCAACCAAAATTTTTGAAGGAAAGCTACAAGAGTGTTGAAATTGGTTCCAGGGCACAGAGGTCGGAAATAAAAAATCATTTGCCAAAAATATTTCTTCATTAAAAAAATGTATTTTAGTAACAACCAATGCTAAAAAGTAATTGATCATTTTGAATAATAATCAAATAATTGGGTGTACTTCCGAAAAGCGCATTCCTCCGATTTTAATGAAAGTTATTGGTATACTAACGTATTTTGATGCGAAAATAATAATGAAATTTGTCGCAAATATGTTCGTCATGGTGAAAACCATAAAAAACACCATAAAAATGTGGTTTTTTGCAATTATCTTCTAAAAAGCACAGAATTTCAAAAAATATTCTCAATAAAAGATGTAAGTCTTAACAAAGCACATCTTTTTCGTGCAATACATTTTTGTCCAATTGTGATTAGTTCTTGAGAAAAACGTAAAAAACGATAAAATACCATAAAATTGTCTAAAATACGAATCCTAATAAAGAAGAATTATTCTTAAAGAAAATCAATAACATTTATATAATTCAGGGCGCTGATTAAGAAAATCAGATTTAAAGTTTGTGAAAATTAAAATTTCATGGTAAAAACCATAAAAGACACCATACATTTTTTTTGCTTTTAACTCCTAAAAACACAGAATTCTCGCTTTTTAGTAATAAAATGGGATTCAAATTGACTTTCCAGTTGGTGCTAGAAGGTAAGCAACATAAAATTTTAATTTTTAAAAATTTTCAATCTGATTTTCTTGATCAGCGCCCTGAATTATATAAATGTTACTGATTTTCTTCAAGAATAATTCTTCTTTATTTGAATTCGTATTTTAGACAATTTTATGGTATTTTATGATTTTTTACGTTTTTCTCGACGAGAACTAAACAGAATTGGACAAAAATGTATTCTATGAAAAATATGTTTTGTTAAGACCTATATCTTTTGTTGGGAATATTTTTTCAAATTCTTTGTTTTTTAGCAGTTAAATGCAAAAAAAACCACATTTTTATGGTGTTTTTTTATGGTTTTCACAATGATAAAATTATTAGCGCCAAATTTCATTATTATTTTCGTAATCAGCGCATTAAAATACGTTAGTATAACCAAATTTCATTAAAATCAGAGGAATGCGCTTTTCGGAAGTTTATCCCTTTTTAAATTTTAGCAATTTTTAATAAATGTTTCACAACTGGACATATTTTTTTTTGTCTATAAATTGAATGCGGGGTATATCCATTATTTATAAGAAGTTTTTTTATTTTAACCAAATTGTCATTGTGAAATTGATTGTTTGAAAGTTTAATACTCTACTGAATTGTTTAAAATATTTATTTTATATCTTTTCGATTCATTAGATTCGAAATGTAAATACCTTCCTGAAAAAGTGTCTTTTTAGAACCAAATCGTTGTAATTTTTTCATTGCCTTTTATTAAAGTAACATGGAACAAATTAATTTGACAATTATTTTCTAATTCATATGTAAATTGAATATTTTTGAATTTACTATTGAAAAGGTTATAGAAATTATCTACCTGATCATTTGGTATTTTTTTTATTAGGTAATTTGCTCCTGAATCTGAATATGAAGTCACAAATTAAGAAAGTAGAACAGTTTTCGAGATATAGCTAAATTTCTATTTTTTGAGTTTCGACAAAAAGTGAATTTACGAATTTACCATTATTTCCCAATGTAGTTGATCGATTTTAATTTTCTTTGGAGCAAATTAAAGGTAATTAAATTTCCTATAAAAAAGTATTTACAACATTTTTTAATTGGACTGACGGTTTAGAAGCTATTTATAAATTTGTTTGGAATTTCTCATTATTTTTAATAAAATTTTAGAAAAGAATAGACTTTTTTGGTAAATTACGTCATAAAAAACGTGTTTACTTTGGGTTTTCTTTTCTGGACGACAAAGTACAATTTCTTGGGAAGAAAATATAAGCCGCTGCTGATCAAAATTGAACTGAAAATATAGAAGATATAAGCACTTAAGTAAAAATACAGAAAATTAGCTTTTACACAATTTTACCATTTATTAAAGACATATCGTATGGTTTAAGGTTTTAAAAAATTTTAGACATCAAAAGGTATCTTAAATTCGATTTGCACTACTTTTTTATGGATATTATCTATTTCTCAAATCAGAAACCAACAAAAATCAGCTACAATAAATTGCCTCGTCCCAAAATCCTTAGTCAAAATTCAAGTATTTTTAAAAACAAATGAATCGTTATAACATTGTTGACGTAAACGTTAACAATTTGAAAATTTGTAAAAATAAATTTTTCAAAAAAAATTCTCCTAATTGCCAGTATGGTGTAGCCCGCTTGAAATGCATAGGAAATATTCATAATTATTTTAAGAATTTGTAGTAAAAATTTGATAACAAAAAAGGTGGTGTTTTTTAGAAAATTTATCTTATTTATTTTCAGAAAATCATTCCCTATTTTTATAATTTTAAATATTTTTTCAAATTTCAAACTGGATTGTGAAGAGGACAAGACCATCTACAAGACCCAAGAAAGAAAATTAAATTATACTCAAAAGAAAAAAAATGACAAGCAAAACAATTTTTTCTTCTATAACATGAAGTTAGTCGACCTGCCTGATTTGAAATGGATTTAGTCTACTGTGTGATTCTCGGATAGTTTATGAATTGAAATTATTGTTATGTTCCAATTGGATGCATAAAACAAGAAACTTTTAATGAAATACCGAATAAAAATTAATTAATAAGTAGATTTAGAAAAATAATCAGAAAAATCAATAAAAATGAAATTGACCTTTTTAAAACTTGTGTAATAAATTTTTCGCGATAATATGAAAATTTCTCTATCTGAAGGAATCATAATAGAAGCAAAATCAAGCATTGTTGGTTAGTCAAAGAGTATTATAAACGAAATAAAAATTATTTTCTAAAAAGTGCAAAAATCCCATGTTAATTAAATGGGAAAAGTATTGTTATTTAGGCAGGGTTAAACGGCATCGTAAAATTTTTTTCTAGTTTCTAGAATTGTTTTTAAGTCAAAAAGAAACGATTTTGACGATAACCAAATGAAAATAGCTAACTTGGGGAATAACGGACACCCTAATATAGGCACTTGACACTGGTTACAAAGAGCTTGTTCTTCTTTTGTTATCAGATGGTGATGAGTTAGATGAGTGTGTCCAATTCGCAGGCGAGTTAGAGTTACTTGGTCCTTCCTTTTTTCCAACATAATTTGGTGACTCTCGAATACATTGTTTTTTACTACATATAGTTTACTGGGTTTTGTTTTCCAATTCTCATTCCAGAGTTTTGATGTTTCGATTTTGAAAATTTTTTTAAGGTCTACAGGTTCGATTTTTGCTGGTTCATCTAGTTCTACTAGAGTACAGGCAGTTTTTGCTATAGAGAATCAGCTGTTTCGTTTCCCGGTATACCAACATGGGAAGGAATCCAAATTATGGTCATATTTTTTTCATTTGGTATTGTAGTTAGTATGTTATCAACATATCTAAAAATGAAGGGGAATTCTTTGAGGCAAAGTTTCTTCTGTTAAATCTAATACTGTTGTTGCAAGTATTGGTGACAGAGGCATGCCTACGGGTAGACTATGTTTTTGCTTAAAATGTTAATTAGTCAATTGTCATGAAATAAGAAATTTTTAAGCATTTTCTTATAATAATTCTTCAAAGCGTATTTTTGGAATATTTGTTAATTGTTTTATTTCATCCTATCTGTTTTTTATGCAATTGATATAGCTAAGTTTGTATGTTAGTGAACATTGATTTTACGTCAAGAGCAATAAGTAAATAATTATCAGGGATTGTGATTTTTTTTAAATTTTGCAATGAGTTCAATACTAATTTTTACTTGAGCTTCAGGAGGTTTTAATGATTTTGTTAAAATGTCACTTAAAAATTTAGCAGTCGGATAGGTCGGACTAAATGAAACATTAGGTCTTAATGGAATGTTTTTGCGAAGTTTTGGTGCGCTATATATTTTTCGTAAAAAACTTTTTTAAACATTTGTGTCCATTTGTAACTTTGATTGTTTTTGCAGTTTCGTTTGTTTCAAATTTTTCATGTAGATATTTAATATCGTTATTAATTTCTTTTTGAATTTGTTGAGTTTGATCAGATTTTGTTTTTATCAAATATAAGATCTTTCATCTTTTTGTCATATGGGATGTTATTGTCATCCACTGTAGTATTAGCTTTGTCTGATTTTGTGAAGAACCCATCTTTGTTATTTTTTAGAAAAAGTTTGGTTATTTGTTTGTAATGTTCATTGAAAGAGAGATAATGTGATCGCGTAGATGATTGTTTGGATGTTTCTTCTTTTAATTGATTATATCTATAGTTTGCACAAATTTTAAACGAACAGCCCTATTGTCTTCGTTAATTTTATGCTTGATTTAAAGACATGTCTCTGCAGAGTTCGTCTATACCATGAAAACTATTTTTTTCATATGAGACAGAGGGAAATAAAAATAGTCATGTTGACGCAAAACGGTAGACGCACCGTAAAGAATCAAAAAAAAAAAAAAAAAAAAATAAGCATCTAATAAGTGAGCTGAAAAATGATAATTGAGGAAAGCGTTTATAGATTGTGTGGCGCAGGGTGGAAGAAGAAGAATCAGTAGGAAGAAACGAGATTTGCAGTATAAACAGCAGACAGACAGTCTTGAGAAGCGGGTGCGGGAGGTTAAAAAGAAGGCAGTGGACTGAGAGAGAGAGAGTGAGAGAGAAACAAGTGATGGCGGGATGAGAGAGGGTGTTGAATGAAAGGGGACAAACGGAAGAATGAAGATCAGTATGAGTGAGATGGGGAGAAGATCGCGCGTGCGGCTCTTTGGTTGTTAGGTCGTTGTTACACAGGTTCTTAGGCTGTCCCGGAGACCGCCGCGTCGCGCGCGCGACGTTCCCTGCGCGCGCAAAGCCTCAACCGGCGTCCACAAGGGGCGCTAGCTCTGTGGCCGGCCTTTGCCTTCCAAGAGCGGGACGTTCAGTCTAATTTGAACCGTCGCGTGTATCCGTATCGGCGGTTGCGACAATCTTTTTTTTTTCCCACATTCGAAAATCCCCACACAACCCACGAGGTTTCAAATAATGTTCTCTCTGAAATTATCCCCACACTTTCCATCATTTTAATTCTATATTTTAAAAAATCAATCGCTTCTTTTCGGAAAAAAGTGTGTTCCACAACCCCCCTCTAGTTTTTCTTTGTGTGTAACCACGTGTTTGAAATTTTTTTACCGAAATGTGTTTTTTTCTTCTTCTATTTTTCTTTTTCTAGGCTTTTGATGACAATTTTTGCAGACTGGGAAAATTGAGAGAGAGAGAGAGTGTGGTGCGTGTGCGATGATATTTAAATAGCAGCGGCGAAGATTCAAAGAGGCAGACGACACGCAGATCCTTCTTCGTAAAGTGCAATGCGATATTCTTGGTTTAAAACAGTGTCAACTATTTTATTTTTACAGTTATAAAATTAATATTTCAATTTTCGAATTTTAGAAACAATGAAAAAGGATTTGAATAGGAAAAGAAGAGTAAAATAAAAAATTGGGGTTTTGTGGTAAGTGCCTTTAATAGGCCCGGACCCAGTGTGTGTGTGTTTGTGTGTTTGTGTGTGCGGTGACCCGCAAACTCTTTCTCAAAATGAAGAGTAAAACGGTACCGCATAAGGCTAGACACCCTCAAAACTGTCTGGGAATTCTCACCACTTACCAATGGTACAACACTTCTTGAAATAAACACAACATTTTTTTTTTTGACTCAAGAAGTCACCTCTTCATGAATGCAGTCGGGAAATTTACATTTAAAAGTTAATTTTTTATTTTCGTTTTCTAAACCCGGTAAATTTGTAATCTTTGAAAAACAAGAAGGGACGATAAAAAATCTAAAGAACAATTCAGGGTGAGGCGCCGGAAACCCTTTAATTCGGGGGTAGTAGAGGTCACCTCACCCCGATAAAAACAAAAAAACAACAACAAACCCCAAAATTTTAGATGATGTTGGGATCATTGATAATTGTTGGAATCTTGAGCTGTTGGGGCGCCATTGCATTTGCCTCGGCACCCCCAACAAAGCTTTCAAGTTTCCCAAAGATTCCCTCCAATGAAAAATTGCAAAACTCTCCTCAAGCCTTTGTTTATCATCATAATTCCAAAGTTAAACTAGATTTAGCAAATTTTTACACTTACAATGAAAGAACAGTGGAAAACATAATGAATCATTGGAAAAATGATGATGATGATGATGATGATGAGAGTAAATTATTCCAAATGCCAAGAATTGAAAGATCATTGATTGCGTCGAGGAAAAATCGTACAAAATCAGAATCACCACGTGAGCAGAGACGACGTTGTCGTATGAAAAACAATTGTCGTGGTAGAAATTGGTGTCCTGATATGGACGTTGGAAATAGGGCATTTCTCGCGCCGACTGTGTTTGAAGGGAAGGCGAGAAGTATGTCCTCCCTTAGAAAGCCGGGATCAAATTATGCCGTTACATTTGAGGTGAGACAGGTTTACAAGAGTCAGACTGGCTTTGTGCCTCTGCAGAAGAATGATAGCGTCAGATTGCACTTCCGCGACAAGGTCACACCGAGCAAGTCAACACTCTGTGGATATGAAGACAACAACAACAACAACAATAATAATAATAATAACAACAACAACAACGCTGGAATTCAGCAACGAGATAATCGAAGTGGAGTGGTGAGAGCCAATATTAAAAGGGGTAAAGTGTATCTAGTGTTTGTGAATCGCGTAGGACCAAGAAACTTTACTATCCTCGGCGAGCCAGTGATACGCAGCAAGAAGAATGAACAGGCAGTGCAGGCGGTCACTCGTCCGGATTATGGTATGAAAATTGGAAAATTTTAAACCAATTTCTTATTCAGGTCAACTTTAGGGTCAATCGGTTAAAACTTGATGATTTTTAGATCAAAAATGTGAAATTTCACTTTGACTCTCACATTCACTGTCAAACAGTTGGAAAAATGAAAAAGTTAAAGAAAAGTACAAATAGTTGAAATAAAATTTACTCTCCATCTTCAAAATGGAATATTCTATTCATATTCCTGGAATATTTCAAAGGAATATTGTTAATATTTTTATCACAATCTTGGAATATTTCAAAGGAATATTGTTAATATTCTAAACACATTCTTGGAATGTATCAAAGGAATATTGTTAATATTCTGAACACATTCTTGGAATATTTCAAAGGAATATTGTTAATATTCTGAACACATTCTTGGAATGTATCAAAGGAATATTGTTAATATTCTGATCACATTCTTGGAATATTTCAAAGGAATATTGTTAAAATATTCTGATCACATTCTTTGAATGTTTCAAAGGAATATCGTGAATAGTATAGTCACACTCCTGGAATATATCCAATATTTCATAGGGATATTCTTTTGGAAAATAGTAGGAATATTTCTTTGGAATATTACTCTTTAGATTCAAAGAATTTATCAGTTGTAAGTAAGTTGATGAATTTATTTAAATAGCACATTTTGGAATGTCAATATTCAAAGGAATATTGTGAATACTATAGTCACATTCCTGGAATATTTTAAAGGAATATTGAAATTATTCTATTAACATTCCTAAAATATTTCAAAGAAATATTTCGAATAATATATTCACATTCCTGGAATATTTCAAAGGAAGATAAATTAAATGTTCACAATATTTAATATTAAAAAAATATTTCATAGGAATATTGTGAATATTAGTCACATTCCTGAAATATATCTAATATTTCATAGGGATATTCCTTTGGAATATAGTAAGAATATTTCATTGGAATATTACTCTTTAGATTCAAAGAATTTATCAGTTGTAAGTAAATTGATGAATTTATTTAAATAGCACATTTTTGAATGTCAATATTCAAAGGAATATTGTGAATACTATAGTCACATTCATGGAATATTTTAAAGGAATATTGTAAATATTCTATTAACATTCCTGGAATATTTCAAAGAAATATTGTGAATATTCTATTAACAATAACAAATGTTATTGTTATTGTTAATGTTATTGTTAACAAATGTTAATGTTAATTTTATTAACATTCCTGGAATATTTCAAAGGAAGGTAAATTCAATGTTTAGAATATTTAATATTAAAAAAATATTTCATATGAATATTGTGAATATTATAGTCACATTCCTGGAATATATCCAATATTTTATAGGGATATTCCTTTGGAATATAGTAGGAATATTTCATTGGAATATTACTTTTTAGATTCAAAGAATTTATCAGTTGTAAGTAAATTGATGAATTTATTTAAATAGTACATTTTGGAATGTCAATATTCAAAGGAATATTGTGAATACTATAGTCACATTCTTGGGATATTTTAAAGGAAGGTAAATTAAATGTTTACAATATTTAATATTAAAAAATATTTCATAGGAATATTGTGAATATTATAGTCACATTCCTGAATTTTTTTTTTGAGGAATATTGTGAATATTCTATTTACATTTCTAGAATATTTCAAGGGAATATTGTAAATACTATATTAGCAATCCTAGAATATTACAAATATATATTGTGAATACTACATTCACATTTCTGAAATATTTCAAAGGAATATTCTGAATATTAGATTTACATTCGTGAAATATTTTAAAGGAATATTGTGAATATTATATTCATATTCCTAGAATATTTCAAAGAAATGTTGTGGATATTCTTTTTACATTCGTCGAAAATTTTAAAGGAATATTTTGTATATTCTATTAACATTCCTGGAATATTTCAAAGAAATATTGTGGATTTTCTATTCTGATTTGTAAAATATTTTTAAGGAATATTGTGGATACTCTATTAACATTCCTGGAATATTTCAAAGAAATATTGTGGATATTCTATTAACATTCCCGGAATATTTCAAAAGAAGACAAAGTTAATATTATTTCCAATGTTTAATATTAAAAATTATTTCAATGGAATATTGTGAATACTATAGTCACTTTCCTGGAATATTGCAAAGGAATATTGTGGATATTATATTCACATTCCTGGAATATTTCAAAAGTAAGCTAGATAAAGTTTTTCCATTATTTAATGTTGGAATATCGGGAATATTTGGAATATTTCACTGAAATTCCAAAGGAACATTATAAATATTCCATTTGTAGTCCAATATCCCATTCACATTCCAAAGGAATATTATAAATATTTATTCTAGCTTCTGCAGGAATATTTAGAATATTTCACTCAAATTCCAAAGAAACATTAGAAATATTCCATTAACATTCCGAAGGAATATTGTGAATATTCCATCAACATTCCTCGGGAATATTAGAAATATTCCAGCCACAATCCTCATGAATATTTGAGACTATTTTACGTTTCGATAAAAAGTATTTTAGGAATATTTCAATTTAATATTTTAGATATATTCCATTTATACAGTCTATAATGGATAGTTTAGAATAATCCATTCAGATTCCAAAGGAATATTGAGAATATTCCATCGAAATTACAAAGGAATGTTAGGACTATTTCATCCATATTCCAAAGGAGTATTAATAAAATTCCGTCCGCTTTCCAAAGGAAATATAATTTTAATATTTCAAGAATATTCCAATTCAATATTTTTGGAATATTACTATAGCATATTTTATAAATAATGCAATTGAATATTTTAGAAATATTCCATTTATAGTCGAATGGTTCATTAAAAAAAATTCTATTGAAATTCTAAAGGAATAATAAAAATATTCCAGCAAAATATTCCAAAGGTCTATTTTACTCACATTCCTAAAGAATATTCTTAATATTCCATTTACATTTCAAAGGATCATTAGAAATATTCCATTCATAAATAAGAAAGGAACATTAATAATGTACCATTCTAAAGGAACATTGAATTAATTTTTGAAACATTCCAAAGGAATATTGATAATATTTCGTCTACTTTCGAAAGGTATAGTGTGAATTTTCCATTTATATCTCAAAAAACATTATTTTAGGAATATTCCAATTAAATATTTCAGAAATATTCCAGGATAAATATTTTAGGAATATTTATATTTACTACGTTTAAGAATATTCCAATTGATTACTTCACGAAACTTTTTAATTCTAAAAGTTACAGAAATATTCCAACGAAATAATATATAAATATTTCGTGAAATGTATCCCAATAGCATGGAATTTTTTAACTCACATTTCGGGAATATTCCTTTGAAATTTAGATGGAATATTTCATTGGAATATTTTATTCACATTCCAATAATTATTAAAGAACCAGTAGACAATAAATGGAATTTGTATTTCTAAAATAATCAATTGATGAATTTCTAAAATATGCGATTGTAATATTCCTAAAATTCACAATTGGAATATTCCTAAAACATTAAAATTATATTTCCTTTGGCAAGTGGATGGATTATTTTCAATATTAGTTTGGAATGTGACCAAAATTTATTTAATATTCTTTTGAAATGTAAATGGAAAAATTTTAGTGTTTACATTAAATTTTTTTAAAGAATATTTCAATATTGAAAACTTTAGGAATATGCTGTAGAAATATTCCAATGGAATACTATATAGAAATATTTCATAGAATGTGCCTTAATATCACGGAATATTTAATATTCATTCCTGGAATATTACTTTTGAATATAGTATGAATATTCCTGGAATATTCCTCTACAATATAAACGAATATTCCAGGAATATTCATTTGGAATGTAGTAATAATATTCCAGGAATATTCATTTGGACTGTAGTAATGATATTCCAGGAATATTCATTTGGACTGTAGTAAGAATATTCCAGGAATATTCCTTTGAAATATAGTAGGAATATTATTTTGGAAAAAAGTAGGAATATTCCTTTTGAATATAGTAGGAATATTTCATTGGAATATTCCTTTTTAGATTTAAAGAATTTTCCAGTTGAAAGTAAATTGATGAATTTATTTAAATAGCACATTTTGGGAATATAGAAAATTGTTGACAATAATTAAAAAATAAGAAGTATTTAAATATTTATTTAACAAAATTATTCAAGTTTTGAATAATTAAATTTATAAATCAGTGAAAGTTTAGGGAAATATAATATAAAATTTTTGTGACAATACTGAATTAAATAAATGACTTTTTCCACTTTTTTTTGTATTTTTAATCGATTCAAGAGACTTTTTTCGCGCTTTAAAGTCGAATAAGCGAGACCTGTATATTTTTTTTAAATAAAAAAAGTGTTTTTTTTAAATTTCCAATAAAATATTTTTAATAAAATAAACAAATTATTTTTGTTAAATAATTAATCTGTTATAATATTACTTAATTAATTGCTTGCCTGTGTCTGATTATTCAATTTTGTACGTCAATTTTGGTAAATGTATAAAACAGTATAAGCTAACATATATTGGGAAATAATAATAAACGAATGAAATTAATTTCGTTAAATACTTTATTGTTCATTTTCCAATTATTATTTGTGTCGAAAATTATTACTAAAAAAAGAAAATTTTCATCTCGTCAAATTTTGTTCTCTCTTATAAACAAACAAAAATTTTAAAGAAATAAAATTTAATAAGAAAAAAAAACTTTAATATTAATTAGGATTTATTAATTATTTTTATTATTTTAATTATAAAATTATTAATATTTTAAATCTAAATTTTTCAACAATTGCAATTTATGAATTATTATTATAATTAATTATAATTAATTATAATTAATTATAATATATTAATTAGAATTAATTAATTCATTATAATATATTAATTAGAATTAATTAACTTATTATTATTAGAATAATGAAGAAATGAAATAGGACGATTTTTATTATTATCATTATTTACACGCTAATTTTATGATTTAAAACTATTTCTTAAGGAATGAAGTACATGTCCGTCTAAAGAGAGACCTTATTGCTAAAATC